AATCAATGAAATCCATTGAACCCATAGAGAAGGAAATGTACTTCTCCATGTTGGTTGGTATGACTTTAAGTGAGCCATGTTGATAAAGTGATATTGATTGCATAATCAAATGGGCGTCATAGTTCTGCAAATAAAGAAAGTAAAATATAATGTACATGTATACATATATAAACTATATATAGACCATGGTTAGTGTACATGTGCCAACTTTAAAGCTAAAGAGTTATTTGTAAGATCTACTTCTTGTTGATATATTAATTGAATACAAACCTTTAAGTTATGAAAGACAACTGGTATTTTCCCTCTAAACCGGAAGTTGACGTTACATGCATTATGTGCTGCCCCTCTGAATTTACCTAAAAGAAATATATAAAACATAAGATAATAAAGAGACAATGTTGTAAATAAAATGCAAAAATCTATCATTATTTATCATTAATTATATCTAAAACAATTTTCTTACCTGTAACATGATCATGGTCACGGACTCTATCATCACCCATAGGTTCATCACATATATGGCAATTTACTGCTTTGTTAAAAGCTCTCCAATCATCTGGTTTCATATCAATAGGTTTGGGGTTCTTATACCAAAGGTCAATTTTATCTTGGACCTTCACCATATGCTGAATGAATGTATCTGTGACATTGGCACCACTGTATACCACAGTTGGTTTGGTTAGGTCATCTGTTGGTCCAACTACTTTATAAGCGAATCCAGAGGGGGTATGTTTGGTTAACTTCTGAGTGTTTGATATACTAGGGTCTTGTTGACACCCTTGTATTTTTTCAGTTGCTGCCTCAAAATCTGCATAAACGATCCAAGGAGCTTTCAATTGCTTTGCAACATCGTTGAAGTAAAGCCATTTGTCATCATCAGAGGGCATTTCGATCTTTTGAGGGCCATATAGTTGGCATTGTTTGATGTGTTTTTGTAGAAGATCATTCCTCTTAAAACCATGGAGACAATAATCACAGAAGAATCTTTTTCCATTGTGATGTGTTGTATGACTGAGAAGCTTGCTCATATTTTTAATCCAGCAGTAGTGGCTACCTTTCCTGTTTGAGAGCAGCATTAAGTTCACATGCTTATCTAGTCTACTTTTGGTGATATGTAGAGGGAACACCTCTTTATCATATCCAAAAACGTTGACTGATACGTTGTTGTTTTGTTCAAATGTTTCTATATCAGTTAGTTTCACAGGATAGGATATACCATCCATATTAAGTTTGGGAGCAAAGTCCCTATACTTGGAAACTCTTTGAATGTGTTTGTGTTGTGGATAAAGGGCAGAAAGTATAGCCCACACAAAACATTTGTTGTCTCTGTTTTGCACATTAACTAATGCCTTTTTACCTCGTAGGGTAACTGGTGTTGGTATGTATGATGAAGCTCTTATTGGCTTGTAGTATGCCATATGAATCTTAACATTGATGACATAATCGAGCAGCCAAGCAGATCCCTGTCGTTGATATTTGATGAAAGAATCGTATATTTTTTTAACAGACTCTTGATATGACTCATTCAAATCAATTGCTTTCATAAGAACAAAGCATTTCCCTCTAAAGTGTGGGCGTGCAACTTCTGTTTCTTCTTTTTTCTGTTTTTTGAACTGCACATTAATGGCAACATACCATTTGATGGCTCCCTTCTTTTTCATTTGTTTTAATAAAACACTTTTTATTTTTGATTCCCTTTCTTTAAACAAACGCAATGGGTCGAACTTTGATAGACCAGTTGAACTAATTGTTACTGTCTTCAAAGATCCATTCAATGCCTCCTCAAACTCACATTCTTCCTCTTCATTAACCAAGTTTTGTTCACCATTTAGCTGCGTATGTTGCTGTTCCTGTGATTGAGATATGGTATCAGACTCAGCTATTGGAGTTGAAGGTTCAGATATTGATGAGGTAGAATCATTTGATGTAGAGGCGTGTGTCATTTTATCATTATGTAATGACTGGGTAGATTGTGTCTCAGAAGGCCAAGTTGGTATTGCCGACTCTTGGGTCGGTGGTCCCCTTCCTATTTGGTTATGATGTGATGCAATGTGGTTTCTTAAGCTTTCCCTTCTATGGAAAGCACTACCACAATCGTTGCATTTATACTCTGGTGTTTCATGAATCTTTTCATGTCTCATCAACTTATCTTTCCTTGAGAATATCTTCCCACAGTGACAATGATATCTCTCATTATTAGTAGCATGCTCTAGACGTTTATGTCTTGCAAGGCTGACAGCTTGTTTGTATTGTTTACCACAGTCACAAGTGTATGTAGCATGTTTTGCAGGCATATTTCTGTTGATCTGAAAAACAATTTGTTCTTTTTAACATTCATCATTTCCCCTCATATCTTTATTCGTAGCAAATAAATATAATTAAGCTTTCTATTTCCAATTTCCAATACATAATATACACTGTGTTTTGTATTAGTTTATATCAATGAACATACTAACGTCAATATGTGAACTATGAATGTAAATCACACTGTATTATTATGTCAAAAGTAAGCGACAGTGATATAAAAGTACTCACTTTAACTGTAGCAATCGTGTTAATTATTTATCCGTGTTGTCTGATTGTGTAAATTCACGTTGAGTGAATGCATCTAAATCCAAGTAGTCCAATAGTCTGTTATATCCACTATTTGTTGTATTTAGTTCTAGTTTCTCCTTTTTGCTTCCTCCAGTTTAAGGTGTTGTACCAAAGTGATTCCATCAGTAGAATGAAAAAGGTTGCAATGTAAGGTCTTTTTATAATGTTTTGATCTGGAGAATACCCAGCCTCGTTTTCATATAATGATTTGATTGGACATATCTCAATAATTAGGGGATCCCCCTTAAAAACTGGTTTAAGCCTGTTCGTGTTTTACAGAAAAATCATTTGAAACAAATTAAACTATATTATTTACATAAAGCTTTTGTTATTAGATACACGTACTTACCTTGTTATAATACTCACCTCTAATTAGTTGATATAGGATCCGTTTCTATAATAAGTCTGTTGTCTACATACTCACCCCATTGAATGTTTTAATTTCCCTTCGAATTTTCTGAATAAAAAGGATTTATTCGAAATATTCGACTATATAATTCCACGTCCTTATTTACAGCCTTGTTATATGTATGACCTTATTTCGTTAACACTGTATTGAGTATGTCAGTCTATCCATGGTCTATCGTAGTCTGTTAGTTGATAAATACAGTGATCGTTATACATACTCCTGGCCAGGCTAATATATACCATCTCAGATAACGAGCATAGGTCATTCAAGGCTTATTATTACTTGAAGCAGTCAACTTAGTACGTATGAGGTGAAAGTCTAATAAACAAACAACGTATATGCGCCTGTTATAGAAAATCGATAACTCTTGTTTTGGCGGGTAATTCAAACACATGTAAAGTATCAGTCATATAAAATTACTCGCTTAAATATCAATGCGGCGGTAGCTCAGTGGTAGAGCGTTAGACTCAAGTTATGGCGGCCTGAGTTCGAGCCCTGGACGAACCCAAACATAATCTGTTTTATTAATGGAGAAAAACCCCGGGGATTTCGTGCACATGGGGGCGTTGTCCTGCTGCCCCCATGGGCCCCCAGGAAAGGTGGTCTAGGTCTCTCCTTTCTCCCACTACTATTAGAAGTACTATCAAAATGGCAATGAAAAATATACAGACAAATAGAGCTCAATTCACTAATATATTTTATAAATGTGATTTTATAGTAAATGGAAAATATGAAAAATTAGAAGGAAAAAAGTCAAAGTTTTTCTATAGTATATTAAGAAATAAACAGTTCGAGAGATCAAATTTAGAAAATGTTTGGAGTACAATGTTCAATTTTGAAAATACAAATAATTATTTCAAAATCATATACACGCAAAAAATAAAAGAAATGCCATGTAAAAAGATTTCTGATTTTAATTTTAAAATTCTTCATAATTGTTTATACTGTGGATACATGATTAGTAAATGGAACAGAAATATAAGTTCAACCTGCATTTTTTGTAATGAAAATCACACGGCGAAACATCTTATTTTTGATTGCCAGAAGGTTAGAAATATTTGGGAAGATGTTGGAGATATTTTGAATTTTAATGTTCAGTGGAAACACATTGTTGTTGGTTTTAGCACAATAGACAGAAAAACTAGAAACAGAAATATTATTTTAACTATTGTTGCAAATTCAATATATAAAAGATGGACAAACCTTAATGAAAAGCCAGATGTCTTGAGACAAATTAATTTTAGACAGCAAGTTTTATCAGACCTTTTATCTTACAACAGTGTATTTCTACTAAATAAATTCAATATGGATTTTGATATGTTAAAAAGAATTTGTAATATTTTATAAGAAGTAAGTTTTTTGTAATATTTTATAAGAAGTAAGTTAAGTGTTTTTCTGTACCTGTATTGTATATATATTTTTAATGTATTATATGTTCATATGTTATATTTTTTGGAATAAAAATTTTAATAAAAAAAAAATAAATAAAAAAAGGGTATATCCATAATGGTGGGAGTAAAAGGGGGTTTACATTTGACAATCCCCCCCCCCAAGGCCACAATCCTGTTTCTTTACTCGACTCCCTTGCCAACAAACTTTGACAGAGTTCCCTTTTTACTTCAGAAATGTTGACATCTTGTACTATAGTGATACTTTGTTTTCTGTATGACCTCAGGTATTACCAAGTCAAATCACAAGATACTTTTTAAAACTCTTTGGTCGACTTGAAACGTCAATGTTCGTGCTTTGAGAAATCATTCAAATATTATTTGTTGAAATACCATTCTAACAAGTGATAATCTCAAAAGATGTATGAGAACTACAATATTCTGTTATTGTGTAACTTGGAAATATACGCAGACAAATTTAATAAATATATGCTAATATTTTACCCATAACACGGTGATCATGAGTTTAAAAGTAATAGTAAAATAATGAAAAAAGAAAATCCATGATCCACCTTAAGCTTATCTCTTTTTATTTACTCTTTTAACAGAATAGTACAGAGAAACTCTCCATCGACGGTGAAGATGAAAACAAAGAAAGAGGGAACTGGAGTGGCAAGCTTGATTTCTTATTATCGTGCATCGGCTATGCTGTTGGACTTGGCAACGTATGGCGGTTTCCTTACTTGGCGTATGATAATGGCGGAGGTAAGATAGTTCGAGGAGGAACTGGCAATTAGCCTATAGATCCTATCTAGATTCAATCTAGGTTGTTGAACTAGTGACATGGGACACTATGTCATCCTTGGTCTAAGGGTATTTCACTTCTTTCCATAAAATTGAGTAATAAATGAAGTCCTTTGAATGAAGGATATACTCTGTCAACTAGTAAAAGATGAATGTTATAAATGTAGCAAGTATGACAAGGAAAGAGTATGTGAGCCGTTGAGCCGTTTTGTGTTTTCCACTACCCACTATATGCTTCATGACATTGTATAGACCGTGTTACAGTAAAATGTTTATTTACGATCCTCAAAACAAAATGGCAAATATAACTTACTTATCATATTTTGGATTCAAACTACATTTAACAATATGTCATCGTACATATTCTGTAGTGTTATTTTCAAATTAATGGCATAAATTAAATTGAGTTTTGATTTTGTTCTTTCAGGTGCCTTTCTTATACCGTACGTGATAATGTTGTTGTTCTGTGGACTTCCGCTTTTCTTTATGGAATTGGCAGTTGCGCAGTTCTGTTCAAAAGGTGCAATTTCAATATGGATTGTGTCACCATTATTTACAGGTAAGAATTAGCCCCGGGGAATTAGCATGAATACTAAAATTATATGAAGCACATGACATTGTCATTTCGATATGCCTGTATTTCTGTATTTTATACATTGTGAGCCGTACGTAAATTAAATGAATAATGATCCGTGTTGAAAACCCATGAAACTATTTTTCCAGGACTTGGTTACGCTATGTGCATTATTTCCGGTTTGGTGTGCATCTATTACAACGTCATCATATGTTGGGCTATATTCTACCTCTTTGCCTCATTCACCTCAAAGCTCCCGTGGGAGAGTTGCGGGAATGCATGGAATACAGCGGCGTGTATAGAAGGAGAAATGGTGATTGGTCCAGACGGGAACCTGACGAAAGCAGCAGATAATGTGACGTATGAAGGTAACAATATAATTTATTTATTGTACCAATAATCCTTTTAAGGGCAAATGTACAAAAGAAGAGAAAGAAAAACTTACATAGACGTAACAACGTACAAGTAGAAAAGTACATAAATACAGATGTATGTAGAGATTATCCTATATGAGGTTCAGGATATTGGGATTATCCCGAGGCTAATATAATATATTTGCCCGAGGGCCGCAGGTCCCGAGGGAAAATATATTATATTGGCCAAGGGATAATCCCAATATCGTGAATCGACTATAGGATAATATGTTTATCCCATACCAATCTTGGTCATCTGGTTAACATTGTTCAATCATGGAAATATTTTAGAATACTCATGTCCAGTTTTGTTTTCTTGGCCGTGGGCGGATTTTCCTGTTCTCTCAAGAATATTCCCATATTTATTTTCTCTAATTTTTGATTGATTAAGTGGATGCTCCTTCCCTTTTTTTAAACCATCAAACAGATCCCGATAGTCTGTGTTTTCTCCATTGTCGTTTACAGTCATTACGCGAACGTTACAAATTATGAACAAATATGCGAGCTGCGATTATGACGTTGCGGGCAGATATTATATCTGCCCGCTCGGAGCGGGACGTAAAGCTATATCTGCCCGCTGATGAAAATATAAGTTTTTACAAACCGGCTTTATGTACCTGTAACACGTCCAAGTATGGGATAAATATATTTATCATATGCCAAGTAGAGTTTTAGGGAGATCAGTTGGTTAGATATATCCCGTATCCTGATTTTGAGGTTTCCATATCCAGAACCTCCATATCTCCCGCTTCGGTGCATATCTTCCCGCTTCGGTGCATATCTTCCCACTTCCGGTAAGTAGTGGAAATGCAATAAAATGACTTTGCATGGGAATGATTTGTTTATTTTTACTATTGAAATGGCCATATGCCCCTGAGAAATCTACTTGGTATAGGATAACGCAGTTATGTACGGTCGGTTTGGATATTGGGTTCATCCCTCGTGAGACATGCACATCTACCTTCGGTCCCTACGGTCCCTCAGGTAGATATGCATATCTCCCTCTGGATAAACCCCATATCCAAAACCTCCCAGTACATAACCCTTATATATGTAACTGGATCACGTCGTTACTGGGTGAGTCTGTCTAGTAGAAATCTACATACTGAGCAAAGTAATGTAATGACATTTTGAACCTAATGGTAGATCTCTCCACATCATAGTATTGTGTTTGAATGGTTATATACTTTAAATACCAGTTATCAAGCAAACTTTCAAAATTAAATGAGACCAAACTTCTTCTTATGATACTCTGTAGCTAATGAGAAAGAGGTTTGTATGGTAACAGGTCCCATGGGTGTGGGGTCTCAAACAGCGTTTACCAATATGTGCGGATCTATTTTCAGAAATCTGTGCTGCCCGCAATGCATCAATGATGATGATGTCAAACACAACAGGAAGTCTTAAGACACCGAGCGAGGAATATTGGGAGTAAGTAGCGAGAGATCGCATATCATGTTCTCTATCATTACACTGGAATACTGCTTTTAGATACTCTGAACAGAGAGTTACAATCCGAATTGCATTCTCATGACCATTAAAAACCCTAATTACGCATTGTATATTTTATAAATTTGGAGCTAGATCGTTATTTTGAGGCTACATTTATTAATAGTGCCCTTGGATAGTATTCTGGTTTTCATCAAAGAAAAAGACATATTTTTAATTTTCTTATTTGTAGAAATTTTGTTTTGGATATATCACCAAGTATCGAAGAAACTGGAACCATTCGATGGCAGCTAGCACTATGTCTTCTCCTCGCTTGGGTGGTGATATTTCTCTGTCTTTGTAAAGGGATCAAATCATCCGGCAAGGTAGGCTAACATTACATTTCTCTGTTTTTGTAAAGGAATCAAATCATCCGGCAAGGTAGGCTAACATTACAGTTACTGACGAAAGGAGATTTTCTCCTATTGTCGAGCTTCAAGACTCTGGGAGGAAGAAGAGCTGTAGATACCTGAGGCCCAGGAATACGTTAAAAATGTTTAAAAAGTCCGCTAGTGTACCGAGTTGTTAATGCTATGTATATAAATTGACTAGATTACTTACATGTATAAGAATAAGACTGATTTTTATAAGCTTAATGGATAAGAATAAGACTGATTTTTTTATTAATGACAGTATACCCGGGCCTCAGGTAGATACCAACCAATCGTATCTTTGGTTGGTTTACTTGGACTGGCGGGATAGTCTAATCACCCAAATTGGTTTACGAAGTTACGTTTATTATGAGGCATACGTACGATGGGGATGGTATAGGGAACAAGCTTTCTCTACAAAGAGGCATGCGAAGTTCAGTCCTTTGGTTGTGGAACCAACCTCCATCATCTAATGATACGCCTTGCATGATAAATATATATGCTATCTGACTAGGAAATCAAGTTTTATATTCAAAATTGATATTTAACAAATGACAATACACGAGAACGCTATGTTGATGTGTCAAAATAAGTTATATACTTGCAAATACTAGCGACCTCTCATTGCATTTTCAGGTTGTATACTTCACTGCTACATTTCCATACATCGTGCTGGTTATCTTGTTGATCCGAGGTGTGACTCTACCAGGATATTGGAAAGGCATTGAGTATTATGTAACACCGAAATGGGACCTTCTTCTAAATGCCAAGGTACTATTCTTTCATATAAAGAAAAGCAATAAGTATCAGTGTAGATGCACCCTACCCTACTGTACATGTTACTCTGACAAGAGGCACTCTGGTACTTGTATTTGAGACCTGACTTATGTAAAATTGTTGCTTCGATGATTCGGAAATTATCCTGCGAACTGTTATTTCATTCTTGTGTATTTTCATTCAGAAACCACCGGTAGAAACCCCTTTGATTTATCCCATTTCAGGAACAAGTTGTTCCTATCCGTTGTAAATATATCTTTTAAATCCATTCATTATTTAAAAGCTGTGGTTATCATCAGATTAAAAATAAAATGGTCTTTTTGCCCACCCTGTAATTTATTTTATCAATCCAGAGAGTAACGTTATGTGGGCCTTAAAATGAATTCTTAACGAACCCCATGAGTAATTATTTTCAGAGAAATGTGAAACTTTCAACATACTTTGAATGGATTTCAGATTTGGGGAAAAGCTGCAGTTCAAATATTTTACTCGCTTGGACCTGGATTTGGAGGTCTTCATGCTATGGCCAGCTACAATAGGTTCAAAAATAACTGCTACAGGTAAAATGACTGCTAATTTAATGGCAAAACATCAGATGCAAATTAGGCATTTAATATAACACATCGGATTGGAAATGTGGAATGCATTTCTTCTTTCAATCCTGAAATTCTTTAATGATATTATGGAAATTGAGAATGTATTATCATCTTTATCTAAGCTTGTACTCGCAAATGCAACTAACGCCTGTCGGCTACCGGATTAACCTACTATTTTATGGGTAACTCATTTAAAAATATGAATACCCCCTGCCATTATGCCATTCATATCTAAATGAGTTGGTCATAAAATAGTAGGTTAATCCGGTAGCCAACAGGCGTAGTTGCATTCGCGAATACAAGGTTAGCTAGCCTGGTCAATACGACTAGGTCGTTTCGAAGTACAATACATCTGATCAGATGGGCAAAGCTCTGCTTCTGTATTTGTGAAAACCCTATTATGTTGTGTTCATATATTTCCGATCTTGGCCTAATACACGGTGTATTACCCAAACGCTCCTATATAGTGCATATAAACTTAAGTTGAAAAACTCCTTTTTAGGGATGCTGTTATCGTTGCTCTTATAAATTGTGGCACGAGCGTCTTCGCAGGTTTCGTCATATTTAGTGTCATAGGATTCATGTCCCACTCTCTCTGCGTGCCAGTAGAGGATGTTGCAGCCTCGGGTGAGCATTTATATTGTCCCCCTGTAGATCTGATTCTTCCTTCTAGATTTATGAAACGTACCCCTGTATTTTCATTTCTTTGTTTTAAAACAAACGACAATGTAAAGTTTTGAAGCTAATTGCAAAAACGAGTTCCTAACATCTGTTAGTCTTAGCTGACACTTATCTCAACCAATAATATTGATTTGCGAAGTGGTGAGGACAGCAATTCCATTATGGTCTAGTGGTTAGGATTCCTGGCTTTCACCCAGGCGGCCCGGGTTCGATTCCCGGTAATGGAACGCTTATTTTTGGCATTTTATTGTTATGAAACGCAAACTTGTCATAAGTGTCGACTACTCATTTTTGCAATAATTTGCAAAAATAGTCCAGATGAGCAGAAATGAGTTAATTGTTCCTTTCATCTTTTCATTCTAATGTTTCCACCATAACCCATTCATTAGTATTTCTAAACTTTATTTGCAAAATTAAAATTTATAACCCGGGGCACCTGGGTGAAAGCCAGGAATCTTAACCACTAGACCATACACCACGGTGTATAACCCAAACGCTCCTACATGCACGACGGAGCATTTCATTACTGAAATTAAACAAAGAAACGCTCCGGAGTAGGAAAACTGTCTGGCGGGAATGATGAGCCGTCTGACAATTTCCCTAATAATGGGAATAAGATGTATGAGTTACATATTTCGAGTATACCATTCGATGGGTGTGATATTCATATTGTACTTGGCTGGCTGTTGACGTTTGAAGCAATTAGGAAGAGCTGTTCGAAGTAGTATAGTTATCAAAATTCAAAAACGTATTTGTCATTCTACCGGTCAAAAACCCTTTTGTCGATACATGTGATTAGTTGAGCCAAGATTAGAGCACCAACGTATATTTTAGTCAAATTCCAATGCTTCAACGCACCATACATTATCGTAATAGTGATTTGATGACCGAAAATCCAGTCTTAAAAATGATGACATTCTCATATTCAAGAAACGCTCCGATCTGGTTAACACAGTGAATTGGAAACGCTCCGGTAGTCTAGATCAGTTAAGGAAATATATAGCTTGCCTTTCCTTTTCAGGAAGAGAAAGAAAAGATCTATTATACCCCTTGGCATCAATAGAAGAAAGATTAATTCACATATAACTTTTCGTTTTTTTCTATAGTTTTATGATTTAGCACATATGTAGGCATGACATCATCTAATGTATAGGCTTTAATCAGCTAGTTGCACGTTTAGCACCACCAGGTTCAGATGTTTCAATTTGCCTAACAAGTACAACACGTTTTTGAGAGATAGATTCGATTCGGAACTCTTCTCTAATAATCTGAAAATGATATCAAAACAAAATGGTAAGAGCGTTTCTAAAATTGTGGTCTAAATCGACGGAGCGTTTCGAGGAAAACAAGCGATTTCTCGAGAACAAGTAATGGATTTGGACTGTGATTTTAGGAAATGAGAATATACGAGTTTGTGATCTACTACTTAAACAGAAAGATTAACGTTTTCAGAGAAATACTGTTTTAATTCGTAATTTGTGGTCAAATCGTGATCTTCAGATTCGTTCGATCTACACTACGGAGCTTTGATCAAGCAAATAACAGTTTACCACCAGAAGTTGAATAAATAAGATCTTTGCTCACGGTATTGTTCATCGAATGGTACATAATATTTCACCATGACATATGATATGTAAGAGAAACGAGAGAAACAATACTTACGGTCATAGTAGAATCTTCATTAGCCGCCATTTTATTTCGCTCCGGAGCGTTTCCGCGTAAATGTAACGCTCCGTCGTGCATGTAGGAGCGTTTGGGTTATACACCGTGTACACGTTGAGTGAAATTGGGTTTATCTCCACTGTTTCCACCTTCACATTACTTATAGTGTTGGAATGCAAAAATAAGATATTTTTGAGTATATAATATTTCCTTATTTTAAAAACTTATTTTTGTTACAGCTCGACATTTTTCTTTTCCAGAATTACCTTTAAAATATTTTTAAAACGAAGTTCATCAATTTGAATAGCTTATTTAGCATTCTACAGGCTTATTCGATATCATAATTCAGGATTTGCTGTGACGTGAATTTGAACCACTGTGCTTCCAGGACCTGGCTTAGCGTTTGTAGCTTATCCAGCAGGTATAGCAATGATGCCTATAGCTCCACTGTGGTCGTGTTTGTTCTTCCTCATGTTGTTCACACTTGGTCTGGACAGTCAGGTAAATGTTTGTAAAATACTATCAAGATAAGAAGTAGTCATTGATTATTCCGGGAATTTTTCCCAGGGTGGTGCTTTACTTGTAAGCCTATATGTTGTAATCATATTTGGGCGATAGCCGTGATAGAAATATTTTTTTATAAAGAGGGCAGGCTAATCAATCCGTGTTCACAATTCTACCATTCTGCCATCTTTATATCGGAACAAAAGCTATATGCTTGTATTGTTGTGTAGTACTGCCATCTTTATATGAGAACAAAAGCTGTATGGTTGTGTAGTACTATATAGTAGCCCGGACAGAATTGTTCAATGGTCACTTTTTCTTTAATAACTTTTTTAATTTTCAGTTTTATCAAAATCTGATTACATATTTGAAAACTAGAGTAAAATTCTGACATACAAAAAAAATATTTAAGGAACACCTCTTAATTTATTGATATTATAGGCGTTCATAGTATGAGTGACGCAAATACATAATTCACCATTTTGTCTCACATTTGTTCAAAATGGTGGCATATTTTGTGAATTTGAATGTTCAGTTGAAAGTTAATATTTAAAGATTGTCACAGGACTATAGGGCCATGCTGCCACTGTAACAATCCTGATGTAATGCAGCAACTGACCAGTCATCAAATACAAGAAGTCAACTCCCTCCAAGGGTATATGAAATCAACTCTATTGTCAGAAATGTTCGGGGCTGTGTTCAAGAGGACGTGAAAAGGCGGCTCCCCAATGTGTGTGGTGTGATGAGAGTAGGTCCTCAATCTTTTCAAGAGCTCCAAACAGCTCCATTGAAAAGCTGAAGAACAATTCACATGCATGCCAAGGATGGGTTAAGAGGCGTGTGACTGGGAAAGACATTACAAACTGTGGCAGTATGACCCTATTTTTGCACAGGTTAAACGAACTAGGGTTGCTAATCCACTACGAGTAACAATGGAATGGCCAAAAAACCTTAAGTCCTGCGACCTTACCAATATACTGTACATACAATGTACAAACCTTTTTAAGTACTGGTATACATGTACATACAACTCAATTTAAAACAAAAAATTATAAATGCAGTCATTATCTCATACCAAAGCAGCAGTCTACATGATTTCGTAGGCCTATGGCATTTCTTAAATATTAACTTTCAACTGAACATTCAAACCACAAAATATGCCGCCATTTTGAACAAATATGAGACAAAATGGTGAATTATGTATTTGCGTCACTCATACTATGAACGCCTATAATATCAATTAATTAAGAGATGTTCCTTAAATATTTTTTTTGTATGTCAGAATTATACTCTAGTTTTCAAATATGTAATCAAATCTTGATAATACTGAAAATTAAAAAAGTTATTAAAGAAAAAGTGACCATTGAACAATTCTGTCCGGGCTACTATAAATTCTGTTTTCAGTTTGCTATGATGGAAACAATTATAACTGCTGCCACTGACGAGTTCCCTAAGCTTAGGTCTAAGAAGACTTGGTTCACACTCGCCCTCTGTATATCTTTCTTTATTCTTGGTCTACCATGTGTTTGTAACGTAAGTTAATCATATATTTAGTATTTTGGATTACCCAAACAAAGTTGTATGTTAAACGTCCTGATGAAAGTCTGAATTTTCTTATTTGCCACAGACCTAAGAGAAATTAATGGACGTGAAACATATTTTTGAACCTAGAAATACATGATCATGACTTTGCATTGGACTGTCGATGCGATTCTACTTGGCATTGTTGAATTTATTGTGATACGTTGAAATAAAGATTATGGCATCAAGTGACGTGATGTGATGTAACGCATCCGAAATGCTTTGATATACCTATTTAGGAAATATCTGAATATAAAGCTTTTGATAGGAGAGATATAAGAGCCTGGAAACGATTTATCCAATTGTTTGGGGTTGTGTGTCGACATGTGTGATTGATATATGTAACCCCCCTATCACACCAAACTAGTTCTTACCCGTTCTTGCCAGTCCTACGAAAATGTCGTAAAACGGGCTCAATCTGGCTGCGGTCGGGATATATGTCTAAAATAATTAGCTACTTCGTTCATAAACAGACTTCGGAATACGTCCATCTCATTCGCAGTTCGTTCAGGTCGCACCACGTCGGTGTGCAACGTAGTATAAACCGTCGCTTAGTCTAGAAGGTCATCATGACCTGATTACAGAACGGTATGGTCGCCATCGAATTTTGAATCGATTCAAAATTCTAAATCACATACCCCGTCCGGGAAAGTCCATGAAGTTCGTAAACAGACCGTAGAACGTTGTAGCTACGTTCATTCAGTTCGCAAACAGTTTAAAACCGATTCGGCAACGTTTTGACGATCGCCAGAAAGTTTTGAGCATGCTCTAAGTGCTGGAGGACCTACTCGTTCTAGTAGTTCCATGAAGTGTGTAAACAGATCCCAAACGGTTCTTAGTGGGTTCTTAGTACGTCAAATCCGTTCGTGCACAGTTTAAGCCCGTTTTCGAGAACGCAGTGAGAACTAGTTTGGTGTGATAGTAGGGTAAATACAATTTCAATTTCTCATTTTGAAATTGTGAGTATATCATCATTTTTATCTAATATTGCAGTCGGGTATGTGGTGGTTGAACCTGATGGACTGGTATAGCGCTGGCTTCTCTCTTATGTTGGTGGCCTTATTCGAAATCGTGGCCCTTATGTGGGTTTATGGTAAGAACGACGTTGTCATATCACCATCAATAATTGGTATTGTTTATTGTAGTTACTGTTTTATAAAGTTCAGCGTTCTCTATATATGGACGTGTAAAATTAATATCAAATCCGTGGTTACTAGGGATTAATAATGCCTGTCATTTTTCTCTTTCTCAAATGTTGACATTTGTGTGTCTCACTTTGAAGATACTTAAAACTGTATTATAATCTTTTTTAGGTATCAACAACTTCCTGAACGATATCAAGATGATGATAGGATTCCGTCCAAACCCTTACTGGATGGTCACGTGGGGTGGCCTTACATTCCTTACAATTCTAGTACGTACTGTTACTCATAGTGGTCAATTTACTGTATTAGTGGTAATTTTGCCTAATCATTTAATTTGCCTATTTCCTAAATTTTGCCAGGTTTGGAAAATTAAATGACGGAAATATTGTCTTTATAATGTTATCCAATGGGAGGTTTCTTGTCATTCGGAAAATTAACCACTCGGATTAAATACCACTTATACAGTATTAGCCTTGAATCTTGATTTATTAGCATGTGACCATGTTCCCTATCCATGTTACATCAGTGAAATGATTTGGTAGATCGGGGGACGTGCCATTTTTCATTTCTTATTATTTATTTCTAATTATCACATGTACAAACATAACATTTGTATACGTTAATCAAATTTAAAATAGACGACATACTGGAAACTTTGCTAAAACAATCTGTCTCCAGTTTTTATGCATACACTCCACTAAAAAGTGTCGCATGATAAAACGACTGAATCTTTTTCAGGGTATCTTGGTTTACTCATTCATCGACTACGGGGCTGTGACGTACAATGGTATGGCTTATCCATTCTGGGGAGAGCTGCTCGGTTGGGGCATGGTTCTATGCTCCTTCATAATGATACCTCTCTTCATGGTAATCAAGCTATTTCAGCACAGGAATGTAAGTACAATATGGTTGATACATGTAATGTATCATTTTATAATTTAGAGAAAAACAGTTACATATTTAGCTAAAATATTGTTATTGTATACAGTTTCTTGTTTCAAACGTATCATTGGACATAGAAGGAGATTATTTGCAATTAGCTCTAAATTACGTTCAGGCACATATTATAATACTCATGAAAAGTTTCTGGTTTTCAAAACGAAAAATTGATTTGTTGATTACAGGACTGTCGATCCGTTATACGACCTACGGAAGAGTGGGGTCCAGCCCTTCCTCGCTACAGAGCCCTCGACCCTAGATATTCGGGTGGTATTCCCATGACTAATACAGAGTACCCTGGCCAAAAGAACCCAGGATTTGATGCAATCTAAAATACTGTATCAAGGACATAGACATATGACTATACACGTATACTATGAGAATAACTAAACAAACAATATCACTATCTGCATGATACCCACCGTGCATAGATTGTGTAGACTAATGCCTCTCTATTTTAGTCCGGGATTTTTGTATGAATCTCTATTTTAGTACGAATGTCTATTTTAGTATGAATCTCTATTTTAGTATGAAGCTCTTTTGTCCAAATTGTCAAGTTGAATGATGGCAAGTTTTATTTGAATTATGCATATGATTTCATCTTCTCAGAAAGCACCAAAGAATTTAAAGATATTTTAGTATGTTGTATCATAACTTAAGCTTTATTGTCCCATATTCATTGTGTGTCGTGAAAATTGAGCTGCATTATTTTCATTGTACCTGGGGACGAGTTGTCTTCGCCGGACCAGCTTTACAACTTACATTCATGTAAAACATTGAGCTACACATTTTTTATATCTTATACGTTTTGAGGTACAATTGTATCATCTGAGCAGAAGAAAATATATGTTAAGTAATATCAAAGTACACTGAAGTGATCAAACCACACACATTTGACATATCAAAACGTATAAAGCATGCAATTATCCGTTGCAATTGTTATAGAGAGCTTTCGATATAAGTTTTCAGCCAAACTTATACAGCAGCTTTAACTTTCAAATGACGTAAACACCATTGGGGAGGAAGCTTTCCAAGAAACCAGGAAAGTACATTTCATGAGAAAATTTTTCCTCGTTCCTAATCGAGGGTATCAGGGTATTGATATGTCAATTCCAGCAATGGCAGTTTCTAATATTTAGAAACCGTCACTCACGAACTACATACTTGCCGAATATTTCGTTGTGATTTGAAAAGGATGAAATCACCCTATCTTCATTTCCAGAGTTCTTCCCCAGTGCTATACCTGACTTGTATAGAACAGGTTTGCATATACGTATTCCAAATAACTTATATCGAAAACTCTCTAATGTAAAATATCAGTTATCGAGGAAATAATGCAATGCAATGTACAAAGTGCAGTTGTTAAAACCAGAGGCAGAATATTCAAGAATTAAAACATTTGCGAGCCACGCTCACTGAAAACCATTACGGGAAATTAATGTTTTTTTAGCTATATGGATTATGTATCGACATGTTATATGATGGATTTTAAGAAAATATCGAGCATCTTTTAAAATATTCTGAAATCCTATACAATTTTAAGTAAAAACAGTGCAGTGTACGGTTTTTAACATTCCTACGTGAAGAGACATTGTCTCTATGTAGAATCCTATTTTTATACTTTTTTAGTTACTGGAAAAAATAAATTTTGATGAAAAATTGACTGTTTTTTCTAAGAATTCTTCAATATTTAGATCACGAACCTCTGCCAGATATCTTCTGTTGGTTTCTTCGTAGGCTCAATAAATTTACTAAATTTATTTCATTGAGCCTACTACCAATGGGGACTGGATCTAGATGTAAAGTTATTCCTGAGCATTTTTAATTTGGTTTAATAAAATATAAATGCTTTAGTTTTTGGGATGGGGTGTCATAAATGATTTTGATTTCAAATTCTAGTATGCCATTTGGTGATTTCTGGGCACCGTGTTTTAAAGTGTTAGACAATAAATAAAATATTTTTTTCAAATTTGGGGGGGGGAGGTGGTAACGGAGGGGGAGCAAGGTGTGGTCCCTCCTCCGACACTTTGAAAATTCCAAGGTGCTATTTGATGATGTCCCTGACTAATGAATGAATGAAACGGATTCAGAATTTTTTTCAATGAATGGTCCATCCTCTCTGGAAAATTTCACAATTTTAAGATTCTATTTTGTGAATTCTGGGCATTTTCAAAGTGTATTAGTCAATTGAAAAAGGAAATTGCATCAATATAAAGGAAGAAGAGGCAGATAGGTGCCTAGCCAGAATATTTTACCTGTTCAAGATACTTCTGGTCGGCATAACGTGTTTGAGTAGGCCTAAATAAATTGTTTTGGCCCGGGTTGCCAGAATCTTTTATGATTTAATATCTCATTTGGAGATCCCTGGCCACTTTTAAAATGTTTGACGTAACGAATCACTCCTAAGAATTCCCAAACATTTTTTCGAATTTCTTTTCATGTGGGCCCACCCGTCTAGAAAATTTTACAATTTTGAGATCATTTTGCGATTGATAGGCACTTTCAAAGTGAACAATTAAAATTGAATTTAAAGAAAAGTTTCTCCCCGAATTTGGGGTGCCAGCGAAGGTTGACGAGGTTTCTTTGCAAATACTAATAACCACTCTATCCACAGGTACAATGGTGACCGGAAAAAATGAAACCATTGAAGTAGGCAATATCTCCTTAACTAGATAACACTCTGAGATAAGTGACATCGATGCCATTTTGCACACATCAGAACAGTTCTTTGGAAAATTGTTCCTGAAAGTTTCAATACAACCATTCAACTGGATCAGTAGCTGTGATCATTTACATTACATGCTCCAATTTGCCACAATTGAAACCAAGACAGAACTGGATTCATATGACAAGATACCCTTACATATTCAGCTCTTTTTGGCATTACATTTAATAGCAGTGATTGCCTTCTTTAAGTCAACAAATGTCTGGGGATTGTTTTGGTACACACTGTCTTTCAAAAAGCCCAACAAAACAAATCATGTGGATTCAAGTTTGGAGTATATGGGAATGAAGTGTCATCTGACCTATGGCTTGAAGTGGCGTTACTCAGTTAAAGTATCATCTTAAGGACGTTTTGGGCAGCCCTTGGTTGGCACATGGGATTTAATTGTGCCATATAGTGGTTTTTAGCAAGATGGCACAACTCCCTTAACCTAAAATTACTCACTGGCTAAATCGACACTGGCAACAGAATCATAAACCATTGGTCAAATGACCCTTCATCTCCACACAGCCTATTCTTGAATCCACCTGGTTTCTATTTATGGGGCTTTTTGAAAGACAAATTGTATACCAAAACAATCCTCAGACCTTTTTCCATATAAATGAAAAATAGATGGCATCATGGGTATTGGTAGGGCGAGGGTAGAGCTAGAATACATGTAAATGTATTGCCAGAGTCACTTAATTTCTTGATTTAAGAATTCCATGTGGATCAACTTAAAACACCATTGGAATATAACTATATGATATTATTGACATGTGGATTGTGATTTCACATTAGAATTGTGATCCTTGTAAGAGTAAATGAACTTTTACTAGGTTTTTCAGCATTGTGTCAATGGGGATTTAGCCCGACCTGTTTTAGACAACTAGAAAATCATTAGAATTTGAATAAAGGTAAACAATGGTGCAAATCAAAGTTGTTTTGATAGAAAATTACACACAGAATTCAAATATGCCATCAAATAGAAGAAAATGATAGTCTTTGATGGTTAAAAATGCAGATCTCCTAAAATCTCATTAAAAACGAGATTTTAACGAGATTTCAAATCTCTATGGAAAAAGGACCAATGGTCCATACTGACCCGAAAGAAGGCAATCGGCGCTAAATGTATTTAGCTGATTATGTAGAGGTACTGTATCTTACCATATGAATCCAGTTCTGCCATGGTCTCAATTGTGGCAAATTGGAGCATCTACCAGTGGCGTAGCCAGGATTTGGTGACCAGGGGTTCTATTTTATGTTATTTACAAATACCCCCCCCCCCTTCATTAGGTTAAGGTTCCTCAAATAAAATCATTTTTGTGCAATTTGTACAATTACACTCCCTCCAAAAGTTTGGCAATGCTAACTAACCCATTGGTTTATGTATTAAAGCATCTTTAAGTTTGAATTCTTTTATGCATAATTTGTAAAGAAAAAATATTTTGGGAGGGGAAATATAATTCATTTTAATACCTTCATTAAGTTAAGAAGAAAATTGGATTTGAATTATATTTAACAAAAAATGATGTCTTTATTTACGTTAAGCAAAGTCTGAAAGTAATAGACTTTATCAAGAAACCCTCCCATTGAAATAACACAGGACGTAAAATGATTTTCAAAAATGACCTTGTAGCTTTGTAACTTTAATGTTCACAAAGTAAATTAAACAGGCAGCGTGCAAAAAAGTCAGACAACTTATAATTAATTTTCTGCATCAAAATATTTTTCGGTTTTGTTACCAAGGAATATCAACTATTTTGCACAATTTATTCTTTAACTAAGCTACTTCATCTAAGACAAAATAAATCACCTCATGCAAAGGCTTATCATTATTTTGCAGGAATATTGTTGGAAGCCAGTTCGGATCAAATGTAAGGTTATTGAAAATGGCGCAAACACCCTATACTCTCCGATCGTTCTTCTATGATAACTTTTCACAACGTTTACACAAAGGCTTTTTAACTCTCCGGGATAGTCGTATTACTGATGAAAATATCTGTTATTCAAATAAGTTTTAAAAAGTTGAAAATATTTCTTTGGACGTCCTCGGTGCAGATCAACTGCAATTGATAATAAAAACGTTTTGGTGGATATAAATCATTTATAAATACAAGCGACTGTTTTTCAATGTTTTTTTATTATGTAATTTATTCGCTAAACATATCATGACACTAACATGGTGGTAATAAATACTCATTTGAACAAATGCTTGTGTTTATAAATGATATATACAGAATATCACATCATTTTGAGTGATATCATTTTTATCGCCGAGTTGATATCAAATATCAACACGAGTGAGCGAAGCGAATGAGTGTTGCTATTTGATATCTACGAGGCGATAAAATGATATCACGAGAAATTATGTGATATTGGGTTTATCCCATGAATACAATCACCTTGTGATGTTCTGATCCAATTTCCAGGACATTGGCAGAAAATATAAACTAGAAATTAGAATATCAATTGAATATTTGAAACACTTTATTTTAACAATAAAAAGTATGCACTACTTTCTGTACATGATATAGTTCGTCATAAATACCTTTTTTTAATCGTTAGTTAGCAGCCTTCTAATCAAATTATATGCACAATCGTAATTCAATACACCAATGAAACTTAAAGAGAATAAATTAACGGACCTATTTTCTCAAAAGAGAATAAATTATCTGACCTAATTTCCAACAATATTGTGGCGCGAAATGCAAATGTGAAATCACACGGATATGCGTGAGATAAACGATATCACACGCATATGAGTTTGATAAACGATTTTCTGGAAAATATCACACGAATTTCAATAATATCAGAAATATCAATAGCTGTTATTGTACAGATAACACATTAATCGTGGGATAAATGCTTTTAAATAACTCATTTCACAACGTTTTTAATTATTTAATGCAATTGGTTTGGGGTACTTGCCAGCCCCAGGGACGTTCCAAGAAATATTTTAAATTGTAATTGAAATAAAACAAAACAGAGATGTACACATTTGAAAGAACATGTGTTTCATCAATATTAGGATTATTCCAGATATTTATTCGTGTAAATGTTGTAAAAATCTTTCGGAGTATGGGACGTCTGCATTGTTTTCAATAACTTTCAATAATTTCGTATTGGACCA